TTAATCTCACTGCTTGCTATTGGCCTGTTCAGAGATTCTATATCTTCCTGGTTTAATCTAGAATAGTTGTATATTTCCAGCAATTCAAACATCTCCTCTTTATTTTCTAGTTTATGCATGCAAAGGTGTTCACAGTAGCGTGGAATGATCTTTGATATTTCTGTGGTATCAGTTGTAGTATCTTCTGTTTCATTTCTAATTGAGTTTATTTGGTTCTTCTCTCTTCTTTCCTTGGTTAGTCTCCCTAGAGATCTATCAATTTTATTTATCTTTTCAAAGAACCAGTTTTTTGTTTCATTTATGTTTTGTATTTTTTTGTTTGTTTCAATTCCATTTAGTTTTGCTCTAATCTTCACTATTTCTTTTCTTCTGCTGGGTTTGGATTTGGATTGTTTTGCTTCTTCAGTTCTGTAAGGTGTGACCTTAGATTGTCAGTTTGTGGCCTTTCAAACTTTTTGATATAGGTATTTAATGCTATAAACGTTCCTTTTAGCATCACTTTTGCTGTATCCCAGAGGTTTTGATAGGTTGCATCACTATTACCATACTGTTCAAATGATTTTTTAATTTCCCTCTTGATTTCATTGTTGACCCAACAATCATTCAGGAGAAAGGTTATTTAATTTCCACGTATTTGCATTGTTTTGAGGGTTCCTTTCAGAATTGATTTCCAATTTTATTCCATGGTGGTCTTAGAGAACTTGCGATAATTTCAATTTTCTTAAATATCTACAGATATTTGTAGAAGTCCATTTGTTGTAGGGTATAGTTTAAGCCTATTGTTTCTGTGTTAACTTTCTGTCTTGATGACCTACCTGTCTAGTGCTGACAGTGGAGTATTAAAATCCCTCACTATTATTGTGTTGCCATCTATCTCATTTCTTAAGTCTAATAGTAATAAGTTTGGGAGCTCCAGTCTTAGCTGCATATATATTTAAAATTGTAATAGTTTCCTGTTAGACTAGTCCTTTTATCATTACATAAAGTCTCTCTTTGTATTTTCTCAGGCAGTCAGCAGGGTCATAGAGCTCCTAAGATATAACCTTTGTCTTCAGCTACCAGGGTGGTTAGAGGACGATCATAGGTCGGGGCAGGGACAGGGCAGCCTCTCCTTAGGTGGAGGAAGGGATTGTGGTTCCCAGTCTAGTGGCATTATATTCCCAGGGGGATTATGGCTACCTCTGCTGAGTCACACAGGCCACCAGGGAAGTGAGGAAAAGTTGGCAGTCATAAGCCTCACCCTGCTCCCATGCAGCCCAGAGTCCTAAAGGCCAGTCTCACTCCCACTGTGCCCTCCACAACAGCACCAAGTCTATTTTTCCAGGTAGCTTGTGACCAGGGCTGAGAATTTGTCCTAGACCACGAGCCTCCGCATTGAGAAAGCAAGGAGACTCATAGTTTTTTGGCATCTCAGGGAGGCTGCAGTTGTGACCTAGTTCCTTCAAAAGATCTCTTAGCTTTCCCAGTATTTTCCAGTGGCAGTTCCTAGAGCAAAAGTTCACCATGTGAGTCTCTACACACTGCTCTGTCCATTCAAGCAGGAGCTGCAAGCTAGTCCTGCCTCCTATCTGCCATCTTAATTCTCCCAGTTTTTATTTATTTATTTGAGACAGGGTTACGTCTGGCTCTGTCACCCAGGCTGCAGTGCAGTGGCAACCTTCATTGCTCACTGTAACTTCGAACTCCTGAGCTCAAGCCATTTTCCAACCTCAGTTCTCCCAAAGAAATGGGAATACAGGTGTGAGCCACCATGCCTGGCCCTTGTGGCAGCTTTTCTTTAACCCACTCCAGTAATATTTTCTGTGACTTATAGCTGGATACTTAGGTAACTTACGTTATGTATGTGACCTACATAATAAATATAGGGCACTATAAAATTTTAGAGAGGATGAGAAAAAAGGCTTGAATCAAACAAATAAACTCCATAAACTTGGATTAAAAGATTCAACATTATATTATTACTATTATTATTATTATTATTATTATTTGAGATGGAGTCTTGCTCTATTGCCTAGGCTGGAGTGCAGTGGCGTGATATCAGTTCACTGCAACCTCTGCCTCCCAGTTTTAAGCAATTCTCCTGCCTCAGCCTCCTGAGTAGCTGGGATTACAGGCATGTGCCACCACGCCCTACTAATTTTTTGTATTTTTACTAGAGATGGGGTTTCACCACCTTGGCCAGGCTGGTCTTAAACTTCTGACCTTGTGATACACTGATCTCAGCCCCCCAGAGTGCTGGGATTACAGGTGTGAGCCACCATGCCTGCCTTCAATGTGATTTCTAAAATGCCAGTTCTCTGCAAATTTACTAGTTTAACATAATTACCACAAAAAATGCGGAGTATTTTTCAAGGGTATTTATAAAGTGATTCAAATGTTTTCTTGAATAAGTTGAAAAGTAAAGGCATTTTGAAGAGAAGAGTTGGGGGGATGTAACTTAGTCCATCAATATTGATGTATATTGTAATAGTATTTCACTGAAGAAAAATGAGAAGATGGAGTAGACTATGAAGGCCACAAGTAGTTCAGAAGTAAAGGCACAAATTCTTTAGATAATAATAGTGGCCCTCCCACCAAAAGGAAATGGGCAAATCAGCATGTAATAGAAGGACTAGCCAACCTGTCAACTATTTGGAAACTTTAAATTAGGTACCTGTCTTATATCATACAACAAATTCCAGTATATGCTTGACACCAGTAATTCCCTAAATATTTAACCACTAACTATATGCCAAGAACTGTGCAAAGACTAGGACACAACGGTGAGCAAAAACATGGGAGCTTAGAGTCTAGCAGGAAGATACAAAACAGGCCCAAAGCAGGACTGATGGAGATAATGTCAGTGTAATGTGCTTTCCCCAAGTAGTAAAACACATACTTTTGCTTAAAATAATTAAGACAATACTGTAACAGGAAACTCTGTAAAGACTCCAATACAATATGACTCTTCACACTCACCCCAAGTTTTGTGCGTAATTCTGTAAAAAGTGTCTGGTGCTATACAATATTTGGACATGTATATTAATCACATAAAGAAATTGAAGACTATGATAGTGACACTGTACAAGATATAAATGTCACAAAAGAGTGCCACACAGGTGATCCACAGGGGCAATATTCTGAAGAAATGAATATATTAATGTTAAATGTAAAACAAAAGAGGATAAAAAAATTGTAAGTGGAATAATATGATATTGCCTGTTAATTGAGGTGAGGACAAAATTCTAATTCTTAGAAACCAAAACTAAAAGAAAGTTACAGATCTGGTTACTTAAACTAAAAATAAATTAGCGATGTTACATAGGGTAAGTCCAGATCACACAGCAGTCTACACCAGGGTCAACAATATTTTTCAGTAAAGGGCCAGAAAGCAAATAATTTAGGATTTGCAGGGCATACAGTCTCTGCTGCAATTACTCAGCTTTCCTGCTGTAATATGTAATCAGCCACAAACAATAAAGAGATGGTCATGCTTGTGTTCAAATAAAACTTTAGAAAAAGTAGGCCAGATTTGGACAATGTATCATAATTTTCCAACTCCTGACCTACATCACTTAATTGTCTATACAATGGTGCATGCTTAAAACAATATATATGGAGCTTTGAGTCCTTGGCTCAATTTTGAATATGGAACATATAACTTTCCATATATTATTTGTGCCCGATAAGCTCTTCACCCTACATAAAAGTATGTGGACCCTTCTTCCAGCTCAATTATCCACCAAAGACTAGGAGTCATACTCACCTAGCAAATGAAAGAGGTGTATTAGAGGCTTTTGCCAGGGAATAGTACTTTGATCTCACTGCCTCCAATATTTATTAAAGTTGGGTTATGAATTAAAATATTCAAGGAAGATTTCTTAGAGAACAAGTCATCTACCTACTTTTCTTGATAACTTATATTCTTTAACCAAATAAGGGCTACAGAGAAACAGGTAAGTAGATTACACCTCTTCCTCCCACTCAGCCACTTTCTGCAGAACTTTTCTTTTTCTATATTGCTCTTTGGTTTGAAGATATTAGTTAATTTAGAAAGTCTTTATAAGAAATGAACAAATTGTAAATAATGACGTATTTCTCTCTTATGATGGAGGATACTCTCCCAAAACAATGAAGGATAAACTGCTTGGGGACCTATTAATCACTGTTTCTGTTTCACATGTGTCAGGTTTCTGAGAAGTTACTTTGGAAGAATAGTTATCCACATTTCCTCCCCCCCAGATTCTATTCCTGGTCCTTCTCTAAGAGCACACTGCCTCAGGAGTCTGACCTCTTCAGACTGAGACTGCATCAGCACATTCCCTTGCCTGGGTTTGGAAGCATCAGCAGGAAAAGGAAAGCAGAACCAGGGTATATTCTTACCCTTGCCCCAAGGATGCAGCTTTTAGCAGTGGCTGCATCTTATAAAGCTGCGGATGTTGAATGGCCTTCCTCCAAAATGGGAATATCTTCCCCTCTCTTTACCCTTTAAGCCAAAAGATGGTAATAGCCTCCTGCTGTTGCCAGTCCCTGTGCACTTCACCGCCCCTTGTTAGTGCTCAAAGTCTGCGTATTAAACTCTCTTCAAGTAAACCCTTTGAGTATGCCATCTGATGCTTATTAGAAATCTATCTCAAGAACAGAAAGAAAAAAAGAGTGTTTTTAGGAAAGAGGCTTTTTTCCACTGCCTTAAGAGAAAAATCTTGTAACCAGGCACCAAAAATTCTGCAAAACTGAAAACATATAACTTAAACATTTAAACATCATAAAACTGCACATTTAAGTTACTGTTTGAAATTATGGACTACATATATGTCACTATGACAAATAAGCATTTAAATCAATGATTGTGGAATGAGATCTACTTAAATTCTACTTGAAATTCAATGAGACTCAAGACAACCTGTTATTTAAAAGCTTTCATTTGCAAACTGGTTATTCTTAATATATTATTTAAACAGAAATACATGCTTAATAAAATGGACAGGCATAGATAAATATTTTGCAGCTTACTGGCATACCTCTTTAAACTTGTGACTGAGCTTGCTTGTGTCCAGGTCTGATGGAGAAAACATGTCCTCATTCTCAGGTAGCTCAAAGACTTCAATGGCCATGTCGCTGCCAGGCAGAACAGGTCCTACCTCATCTTCTTCTTCATCTGTGGCATATTCTCCTGTCTGAAAGGAAGGGGATTTCAGAAATCCAGCTGTCCTTACCCCAGGTGGAGGTGAGTTACTTGAAAAATATTTAATAAAAGACAAATAAGACAGGTCCCCAAATGGTAAAAGTGTTAAGTAGGCTTTTGAGTCAAACATGCCTCATGCAGCCAATGTTATAAACAAATGTTAGTTCAAAGATCCAAAGTGACAAACCTATGCCATATACAAGTGTGTTTCAGGGGCACACTAGTATATGGCATCTACCAGTATTAGTGGCATCCTTAGCATAGAAACAAGAATTGTTTTTTTTTTTTAATCTGAGCACTTGATTATTTTACCAAATAAAACTATGTTGCTGAGGCAAATAAGAAATTTGTTAAAATTCCCTTTGTGAATGAGCCACCCAATACTGGGAGCAAGGAAAAGGGAAGGGGAGTTTAAAAAAAAATCACAGAATTGGAAGTGATCTTAATGAAGCCTTGCAAAGGTTTAGCTGATTAATTTTCCTAAGCTTTAAAGTTCAAACAGTTCTGTTTTGTTTGTTAATTATTGTGGTGGTGAACTAGTGAGCTAAAGAATAAATCAAAACGTTTCTAACCTATAGCCTGCACCAAGTGTATTGTTTTGCCTGCCAAGCACTTTTATAAATCTCAGTATTTTGTCAATGTGAGAAAAATGTTTCACATAAAGTTTTAGATTTCCAGCTTTGAGAACGCCAAATATCTGTTAATATAGGCACATTGGGAGATGACAACAATTGGCCAGTTAGCAGTGGTCGCCCCTCTTAGAAGAGTTATAAGCTTTCGTATACCCCACAACTTCTCTAATGCCATATTGTTCTATGTTGATAGCTTCACTCCTTTATAATGCCCACTGGTCCCTGTAGATATCTGAGTTCATGACCCCTGGAATAAACGTTCCTCTTTGTCACTAACTTCCTTAACTTTATTAGAAAGTAGGTCCTCTCCTGGCAGCATCAAGCTATGAGAATATAATTCAAAGTAATTGTTTGAAATCTATACCTTATGAGATAATTTCAAGATAAATCACTGACTCACAGGGTTAAAAAGACAAAGTTCATTGAACTTATCCCTGTTCCTTCAGGCGACACGTTATCTAACACATAAAACAGAGATAGAAATTCATATTGCCTTTTAAAAACTGTCATGAACAATGTACAGAATGATCTATTCCTTTGATTAAATAGGCTCAGCATCCATCTGATTGCTGTTTTTTTTCTTTTGGTTCTGTATTATATTCTTCCTACCAAAGCAGGAATCCCCCTCCCCCTTTCCCCCCAACCCATGCTTGCAAATGAAGGAAATCTGGTCCTTAATCTCAATCTAGTAATTCTCAATGTCTGGAAGACTATTGTTAAGTTGCCTTCAGATTTCTCTTTTTCAAATAAAATAATTCTAGTTTCCTCAAAGGTAATTCGCTGTAATTGTCTTTGTGATTGTGCTCTGATTTCTCTCCAAGTTTTCCACGTTTCTCTAAATTGCAAAGCCTGAGAGTAGACACAGTTTCTAGTAAGAAATTTGAGGGTCATTGACTATGATGGACACACTGCCATAGCATCCTTCACACTCTGCCTCCCCACAGAGAGGTTACTGTCATGAAGAACTTGACATTGGTGGCATCTGTATATGGAAGTAAGCTCAAATATTCCATGCAGAGCAATAATTTTCCAAACTGGTTATAGGTTAGTTGGAACCTTTATTTTCCCCAAGTACTATCAGAACTGATTTGACTGAAAGGAAAAGAGGTTGGCAGACTCCAGTATAATCCTTTTATCTCCTGAGTACCTGGAACTCTAGAACTCTGTAGAAGTCAGTCTGAAAATGTCTAAACTATAAATACCACTTCAAGTGTCTTTGGCACTGGCAGGTAAAGGTAGCTGAAGAATGGGAGCTGGTTGGTCCCAGATAGCTTGTACTTATTTATTAGTAAAATGAGATCCTACACATCTTTTAAAAAACCTCTAATTCCAGATTTGGTAATTTTTTTGGTATTCTATGAATTAATTCATCTCCTGTTCATACATACTTCTAGAGCCAACAAACACTTTGTGAATTCCAGTGAAGTTAACAGGAATGCAGCAAGACTGGCAAGTAAATAATCTCAAGATACCTTTCAGAAAAATTTTCATGTACAGGTATAAAATTGTGTACTTGTTTTTAACCCTATTATTATAACTGGCAGCAAAACCCAAGCCTTTATTATGACGGCTTAAACCAGGTATACAGAATTCACTATATACAGCATTGAATGACTTAAGAAACTCCTATGCTAAATTTAAAGTATGACTAAGCCGTAACAATCAGGCACATTTTAAACAAAAGTTGAAATGAACAATTTGATTTCCTTTTGCTAGCTTGAAAATAAATACTTGTTCACTATATGTGACAGAATATAAATATGTGCCTAGCATGGGACCAGACATAAAACAGGATCTCAGCAAATATTTTTAAAAGAATAAATCCAAGAATGCCAAATGCATTAACTTGGTTAATATATAAATTCTAAGGAGGTTTTCAATAATATAAAGAAAATAAACTGTGGCTACTTGTTAAGAAGGCAGTAGCATAACGACAACCTTACCGTGTGTAACAGGATTAGGGTATACACAACATATGCAATTCTTACCTCTAAGTATAGTAGCACTTTGTCATCCATATACGCTTTAATTATGAAAATTATCTTCATAAATGTAAGTTATTAAGTGTTCTTCTTGGTTCTTTAGTTGACTCTGCCGGTCTCCTCTCCTTTCCAATACCCAAATTACTTGCAGTACTGTTAAAATTCTTATCACTCATTTCATCTTTCTATTTCCTAATGTTTTCTTTCTCCAATTAGCCTTATAAGCATCTTGAGGACAAATATGTCTTTTGCTGTCATGATTCTACTTATTACTTATTATAGGCTAGGGATGGCATGTTTAAAACATTATGTTATAATTCTCTCTTGCTGATCACTTGCCATTCCAACCTTAAATAGGCTTTAGAATAAAGGATGCATTTGCTACAGAATCTGATAAATACCTGGAACTAAAAAAGTTACATTTAGTGGAGTAAGAAAAATAGGTTCTTCTGATATTTTATCTTTATTGAAAATGGAAATTATTTTTGTGGTTACCCTGCAAATAAGTCACATGGAATGTGTTCTTAGAATGTTGTAAACCTCAAATTTTAAATCTGCCATTCACAAAGGAAGATGAACAATGTCGTACTAAAAAAACCCAAAACCAACAAACCCCAAAATTACAACAATGTATTTCCACTGGTATCTAGCTTTTTCTATTTCTGCTCAAATTAAAAAATCTTTCAAGTAAGCAGAGACTCTTGAAATTATTTTTCCTAACACACAAATCTCCTTCAAATGTGGCAGTAACAGTTTTTCTGGGTAAAAAACTGACAGAGATAGTAATTTTCCTTTCCATGCCCTTACCTACCTTTTTGATTAATATATAATACTTTTTAATAGCCCCACACAATGGGGCAAAAAATAAAGAGCAATCCTTTTGCAACTTACTGTGTGCCAGCATTATATATTCCCCAACAACTATGTAATAGAGGTGTTACCATATTATCTTAATTTGAGGAAACTGAGACTCAAGAGCCCATACCTAAGGTCAATTAGTTAAGTTATTGAAGCTACATCAAACATATTCCAAAACCTATGCTCCTTATTCTATGCTGTAATGTCTACAGAAACTAAAGTTCTGTGGGAAAAAAATTGGGAATAAATTTTTTATGTTATCCCAACCCTAAACCTTGGTGCATAATCCTGTTGTATTGAAATTCACCTTCCACAGCTTTGAACATTATCACTGAGTTCACTTTGAAGACTTGCACCTCTGTATAGTGGGCTCCAAAGTTCTTGTCCTCTTCTCTTCTCTCATAATATGCTTACCCATGGCAAGTATATAGAATGCCCCTTTGAAAGGATGGGGAGCAGTATTGGTGGGTTAATTGCAACACAGAGAAGAATCATTGACAAAACAAATGAACACACACACATACGCACACCATTTTATGTTAACAAATCACAGAAGTATTCATTTATTTGCTCATCTTTTAATTGCAGGGCCAAGCCTATCTCTCGGCATATGGGTCTGCTGACTGACATTTCATGTACTCTTTCTTGTATAAACTACAACCATAACATATAGTCTATGAAATTATTGTAGTATCTTTAAAACAGATGAAAAAGATCCTTGCAAGGCAAAATGAATGCAAAATTCCTCTAGATTTTTATGGTTTTCCCCACCTTTTATATTTCCTTCTCATACCTAATTTTCTTGGGTTGCCAGTCTTTATTAATCTTCCCAAAGCATTGTATTTAGCTTTCATAGATACAACTTCCTTTACACACATCACTTAATATTTTATAAAGTAATATAATTATAATAACAAGAACAACCATCAGGTCCTGTCTCTTGGTAAACATATAACTTTTGACTAGTGGGAGAAGTATGCAGACATACTAGAGCCTGGGACATTCATGAGAGCTATTGATAACTAGATTTTGCTATCTAGATTTTGCAAAAGGAACAGACAGTATCTGTTACATTGGCAAGTTGGTTAAGTGGGGATCAACAAAAGAATTTTGGTTTTGAAGTCATGTAGACCTGTGTTCAAGTCCTGGCCCTGAGACATGGGGCATTAGCTTCCATATCTGAGATTTAATCTCTTCATCTATAAAGGACAAAACAGTGCCTTACTTTAGGGTAAGAAAGTTGTCATGAGATTAAGTTAGATGGTGCCTTGTATTTAACACAAGGTCTGACACATGAAAGCGGCTCAAAATGATGGCTCTTCTTGCTGCTGCTGGTATCAATACCGCAATAGCAACAGACTGAAGCTTTTCCAGTCTGTATCTTGTAAATGCATTTGCTAAACTTTGGTCTCATAAATCTAAGTTCCTCAAAGACCTCAAAACATGAATCTTTTATAAACAAACTGGTCATTTCTGAAGTAAAACTTTTCCATAAACCTGTTCCTCCACTTATATTCCCA